CCCGGGAAATTCAAATCCCGGGCTTCATTTGCAAGTGCGGTATGCCTACATTACCCTCCTAGTTCGCCATATTTGGGGTCGGGAAGGAATTTTCCTCCAGGGAAGATTGGCAGAGGCCCTAGAGGTTTTTCGCCTTCCTCTGTAGCATGGGGTACAGATCACAGCTGAAGGATTCTCTGCATCTTGGGGTCTTCAAAGTATTTGAAGGCTTCAATATCTGAGATATAGGTGAGAGGATTATTCTAGGAGGGGTGGGTGAGATTTTGTGGCCTGCATTGTGCAGGGGGTCAGACTAGATGATCATAATGGTCCCTTCTGACCTTAAAGTCTATGAGTCTATGAGAATGGTACAGCTTGATTCTCGTTTACACAAATGCTGCTTTACGTTCATTTGGCAAAGTAAATGGAACTTAAAATGAGTGTAAATATAATTTATGCCCATTTTAAGACCTTTGTACACTGCCGGTGCAGCATCAGAGGCCTTGATGTAACTGAGAACCTTGATGTAACTGAGAACCAGACGCGTAGTTTTAAATCTATTTTCCATGGGTGTGTAAAACCATACAAGATTCAGGGCAATGGAAAATCAGACAATGAGTATTTAATTGTGTTTTGACCCTTAACACTGGATTTCTACAGTCAATAAACTAAATGAATTCTTAGGAGAATGTACCAAGAATATATGCTTGTCTCCCACATGTTAATGTACTTTGGCTGTTTTTGTGTAATGTAATAAATATAAATAACCCAGTATAATTTTGTGACAGTCTTTATTAGGTACAATGTATGTATAAAAAGGTAAGCAAACATTCTTAACACAAGAAGTAATGAAATTTTCAACAAAAGATTTTTGTACCATGAGGCTTATTGGCCGTTGCCATATCTTATATGTGCCTAATATACTTATTCTAAGAATAAGATTAATATGATTTCCTGGTATGATTTTTTTTTAAAATTTTAAGGCATGTCAAAATATTGCCAGAATATTACATTAAAATAAGATGGGTTTAGATTATGAAAATTATCCTTGGCTTACCACCACACTAAATTCAGACAAAACCTAAAGTTATTCATTAAAATCCATATTTTGTCAGTGTTTGATGCACAAATATAAAAGTAATGAAGATCTCATTGGTCAAGTATCAACGTATTTTCCCATTAAAAGAAGTTGTTTACATAGACTAGGAATTAGTACAAGGATATTTAAACACAGAGGTCAGATTTTAAATTCATTAATCTATTGCACTGATAATGATAATCACTATCCTATGTAAAAAAATTGCTAGAATTCAGAATTCACACTAATGCTAATCCCACCTTCTTGCTATATATTAGTGGTACCTTACATCTGTTACAAATCATCAGTTAAAATGCTTACCGATTCATCCATGTGGGGGGAAGAGCTGGAACATACAGAAGACCCATGAGTTCAGACATCAGTATTAGGCTAGCCTATTTGGTACTGCCAATGCTAAGTTAATGGCAACACAGGATTTCAAGTAATATAACTTAAAAAACAGAGGGCAAATGTTAATGTTCATGAAGACTGTGGAATAACAAAAACCAGAGCCATGCTTAGCATGGCCAGGTATTCTGAACCAGATAAAGTTTCAGTTTATCAGCTAACTATTGTACTGATGTAGCCATGGTTTGCCATACTGTGATGCCTTTCCTGAAATACTGGCTCCTTGAAACATAACTTCCAGAACAGACTGAGGTAAATGGCACACCTCTTCTGGTAAGTAAACATGAAGGTATTAAACCTTTCTAAGTGTTCCAAGAGATTCCTCCTTCTCCAGTTGGAGGTGCTGTGTGAGTATTCTAAGCATCTGGCAATATGCTCCTAACCTGAAATCTAGTATCCTGCAATCTAATATCCTGCTGTACCAGGTTTCACAGATTGGAAGGCCAGTAAGGGCCTTTATGATCATCTAGTCCAGGGGTTCTCAACCTTTTACTTTGAGACCCCCCTCCCACACACACAACATACTATTAAAACTCAACAGCCAACCTGTGCCATGATGACTGGTTTTCTCCATATAAAAACCAGGGCTGGGGCTAGAGGGTACCAAGCAGGACACTTGCCTGGGGCTCCACACCACAACAGGCTCTGCAAAGCTAAGTTGTTCAAGCTTTGGCTTCTGCCCTGACTGATCAGGCTTGGGGCCTCAGACTTCAGCTTTGCATAGTAGGGCTTTCGCTTTCTGCCCTGAACCCCAATGAGTCCAATCCTGGCTCTGTTTGACAGACCCCTGGGCCTACTCATGTGGACTCCTGGTTGAGAACTAATCTGACATCCTGAATAAAACAAGCCAAAGAACCTCTGCCTTGAGCTGCTCTAAAGCTAAGAAATACTACCATTGCATGTTTTTAAGTGGATAAATGCAAACTAGAGAACTGTGCTACAGTCACCAAGCTCATCTTAAAAGTGTTCAACGGGATGGTGCCATCACCTGAATCTCTACTAGCTTTATTTTTCACATATTTTCTATTTGTAAAAGTTTTTCTAGTCCAGTATAAGCCTGTTCCTCTAAGTCCCCTCTCACCTAGAGTTGAGCAGACTTACTTACTCACAGCCATTTTCCATAGAGGATTGGATAAATGAATGAATAAACAATTATGAATCAAGGATTGTGCAGCTTCTGCTGTATGGAACAAAATCTATCTACACTAAATTTGGGTCAGACTGACCAAACCCCTTTCTAAATAAGTTCTTAAAAAAACCCACCTTCTCCCCCTTTTTTCCTCATCTGTTTTGTTGATTTGTTTTCTTTCTTTTTTTCTACCCCAATAGAAATATGATAGTTGACCACTAGGTGAAACCTAGCTGACAAGGTATCTTCAAAAAAATAAGATCTTTTACCCAGTGTGGACAAGCCTTCCTAATCCTACCATGTTGTTTTCTTATCCCATCAACAGGGGAAAAAAATCAGCTAAGAAAAGCTGCCTAAAAGTGAACACTTTTTTTTTTTTACTTTGTTTCAAAAAGAAGAAATCCAGCAAAGGTGGAGAAGCGCTGATGATCTCCATGGAGTGCTCCATTCCCCATTCGCAGCCAAACTTCATCTCCCTTGGCAAGCTTCAGCACTGCACTGTTTCCTGATGTGTCAGCTTTTCCTTTCGATTCATAGCTGAGAATGAATATTGTACAGTTACCCTCTTCTTTTGTCTACAATGATCAACTATGTTACCTGAAAGAAAGGTGCCAAGCCTAAAAAACACACTGCTTTGCTCCATCTTACATTACCTAACAGATTGCTGCCTCAGTATTAGCGGCGAGGAGTCCTGTGGCATCTTATAGACTAACTGAAGTGTAGGAGCATAAGCTTTCGTGGGCAAAGACCCACTTTGTCAGATGCAGAATCTGTCGCTTTTGCAGATTCAGACTAACACGGCTACCCCTCTGATACTTGCCTCAGTATTGGTGTCCTTTCATTTGAAAAGCATAGTAAACTTTAAAAAAAAATCATATTTGATTTACTAGTCAAATTTTAGAAGACGTTTAACTGCATAATTTATTTTACATTCTGAAAATTTTCCGGACTGATTTTTTTAAACCCTGGCACCTATGACAAGGGAGTTTACCATTTAAAATCATTTTTCATTCCCAGTGGACTGCTTCTCATGCCCTGTTTCTATGTGTTTTTTAAGCCACCAGTCTCTTGGGAGAGGAACTTTGTGTATTTCATAAGACCAACTCTTTCACTGGTATTAAACAGGTGGGACAAAAAGGCTCTTTGGCACCAGCTAGCAAAACATTCACTGCTTTGTAACAGCCATTCCTTCCAGACCTGAAAAACTCTCTGCATTTAGCATACTCCTTTTGTAATACAGGTTGAACCTCTCTAATCCAGCACTCTGTGGTTCAGCAACATCCGAGGTCTGCATGATTTTAGTTAGCTGGAAGTCCACTTATCATGGGTGTGACCAAGTTTCCTATGGTCCCATAAAATTTGTTTACAGCCACCAGTCCTGGCTCTCAGTGTTCATTTAGTTCTAATGTAGCCCGAAATGTCTTCTAAGAGCCCCGAAAACAGTGGAAGTGTTGGGAATGCTGCTAGACAATATTGATCTCTTGGGGTTTGGCAAATTCTCTGGTTCAGCACCGAATAGGTCCTGAGGGTGCCGGACTACAGAGGTTCATCCTGTATGTATCTACAAGGAATGCCATGTGAGACTTTAAATGAAAGCGAGGATCACACTGATCTTCATGCTCATTAAGAGGCATATGGATGGATGATATTTAAGGAGTTGTGCATGTTTTAAATTCTAAATCAAGGCAGGATTCAAAACAGCTGTTGAATCAGACCAGGCAAGCCGAGGGAGTGCCCGGGCTCCTACATTAGATAGGTGGAGCTGGCGCTGCACTCCTGGAAGGGATGAGGCCTCAGATGGAAGGGGCAGGGCAGCCAGTCCTCAGTGCCACCGAGACTCGCTGTTCAGGGCTCTGCTGTGCACCGTGTGAGGTTCTGGTGGTGATTTAAAGGACCTGGCACTCTGGTCACAGTTTATATCATAGTAGTAGCGACTGACGGTAGCTTCAAGTCCCTCTGAATTGTCGGGACCCAGTGCAGTTGTCCCCTGTGCTCCCCACCCCTTCTCCATTGGCAAGTCTGAGTCGGACAGAACAAGTTTATTCCATTGTCCTGCAGTTGGATATGTAATTAAGCATTGCAAGTCAACACCATGAAAGCCAAACCTGTGCATGGAATAAACAGGAGAATGGGAAGGTATTGGTCATGGTCTGGTCTCGGAGGGAGGGAGAGAGGGAGGGAGGGAGGGAAATTAACCTTGAAGAGCATAAAGGGTACGTCTTCACAGCAGTATTATTTTGGAATAATGGTTGTTATTCTGAAATAACAATGTGAGCATCTCCATAGTAATTCCGTTATTTCGAAATAAATTCCAAATAACAGACAACTTATTCCGACTTCTGTAAACCTCATTCCATGAGGAATAACACCTATTCCAAAATAGTTATTTCATATAGCAGTAGTGTGGACACTCCACTGCTATTTCAAAATAGCTCTGCCTCAGGGTCATTCAAAGTAATTACTCCCCAGTGCCTCCTGGGGCTCCAACTTGAGGTAGCACATGCACATTAGGGAAGCCTGCCTCTGACTAATTTTGAGACTTCACTGTAGTGTAGATGTGCTATTTCGAAATAAGCTATTTCAGAGTATTTCTTCCAGAATAGCTTACTTCAAAATAAGCATGCCGTGTAGACATACCCAAACAGAATGCATTCTTGGGTGACATTTTGGTACCTGTTCACTAAGGAAAGCCTTGGAAAAGAAGGGGAGAATCATGAGTGCTTGAATCCTGGTTTGGCTGAAAACTAAGACAGAATCCTGGGTGGGAAATTCACATCTTTAACTAGGAAAGTTAACCAACGGTAAGGGTAGAGCCTGGTTTGCATTTTATGTTTTTGTAACCATCTCTGTTTGTATGATCATTACTCACTCTTTGATAATAACATATGACAATAAAACAATGTATTGCTTTCACAATACGTATATTTCAGTGTTGTGTTATATTGGAGCTGATCCTCAAAAAAACTGGTGGGTGAACTGTTCCTTTGGAGACAGCTCACTTGGTAATTTCTGTGCTTGTCCTGTGGCTAAGGGCTGGACATTACAAAGGAAAGAGGACTCCGGGATTGGGGTGCATTTATTATTAACCCGCGAGGCAAGGTAACAGCTGGCAGAGCTCCGAGGAGAATGTTTAGGTGGTTAACTATCTGGCAGTGTCTGGGAGCTGACATTTGGTTCTGCACAAGGAACCTTCCTCTTGCTGGAGAGAGGAGGTAATAAGTTGACCCTCAACCCTGGATCCCCCCCCCCCCCCATAAACAGCTAACTGCAAATTCTTATGATGAATAAGTGACTGGGCTCGAAGTCTGTCCTTTTGGATACAGCCAATGGCTTCCGATTCCTTATCACATGAGTATAATAAAGACTTCAAAATATTTTTAGCTGAGATAAATTCACCGCAGAGTGTGAGAGGTCATGATTAATGGCACCCTAGATACTGAGGTGGCTACAGCGCTGGGCAAAGTGCAGGCTTAATTGAAGCCAATTACTCAGTTTCTGTTGAGGATCCCTGACTCTTGGAAGGCAACTGCTGGGCTATTGAGGCAATTGTCTCAGTAATTGGGAGGATATGTGGGGGAAGGAATAAGCAGAAGAGGGATGCTCAGAGGGTGAGCATGGGCTAAAGGGAGAAGGCCACATGGAAGTCTCCCCCTGCTAAAGCCCATGATAGGCTCCTTTATACTTTACCAGGGAAAAATAAATACACAGGTGCTGAAAGAACAACAAGCCACTGTGGGATTGTATTTAAAAGGCCAAGAAAGACGCCAAGTAGTGTGGCACACCCAGTTGTGACTGAGACACTCTGTAACACAATGACATGAAGTACAGCACTTAGCCTTCTTACTGATCCATAGCACTGTAGCGGAAATGTCACCTCTCTTTAGTATAACTTGCTTTATTGGAACAGTCAGTAAGGCTGTCATTTAAATAAGAGGTGGGGAACCTAAGGCCTGGGGGCCGGATGTGGCCCTAGGCATGCCTGGGTCTGGCCCCTGAGATTCAGGAATTGCCCCCACCCCCATCCCAAGCATGTGGAGCCCACACTGGTAGTCCAGTTCCCCTGCTGACCTCCCCTGTGGGACTGAAACACACAAAAATCTACTAGCCTTGGCCCCCCTTAGGCTCTGGTGTGTGAGGGGAATATGAGGCATGTCTTTCTCCTACTCAGTCAGGGGCCTCGTCAGTGTGAGGGTTTGGGAAGGAGTTTGCTTTCCACTTATGTGTGCTCCCGACTGATTTTTCTGTGGTTCAGTGGGCCCTGATCCAAATAACTGTTCCCCACCCCTGATTTCAATGGTATGTATTGTATGTGCCTCAGAATCAACCGAGGGCTGAATATTGTTGTTTTAAGCTATCACACTATGTGACCATTAGAGCCCAACCCAAAATCCATACTGTGACCATTTGCAGAATCTATGTACAATGTATAGATTGTGGCTGATGTCATGGCAGTTTTTATTATAAAATTGTTGCATCACGGAATACCTTAGAGTGGATGTGGAAATCAGCATTTACAGATAAGGACTCCAGGAACAACTGTCAGACATTAAATCTTAGCGAGTGGAGGAAATGCCTTGTGACAAAGGACTTGGCTGAAGCAGGAAAAAACCCATCAGTGAAATAAAGAAACCAAGTGTTTGAAGAGTGACATATAAGCATGAGGACTCAAACATACAGGTATGTCTACACTGCAAAGTTAATTCAGAATAACAGCTGTTATTTCGAATTAACTTTAATAGTGTCTATACATGCAAACCGCTATTTCGAAATTAATTCGAAATAGTGGAGCGCTTACTTCGAATTTGGTAAACTTCATTCTATAAGGAGTAACACCAAATTCAAAATAGCTAGTTTGAATTAAGTGCTGTGTACACACTTAATTCGAAATAGGGGGCCTCCAGCCCTTCCCAGGGAGCCCCAGTGGCCCCTCTGGGCACAACCAGGAAAACTTACTCTCCTCTCCCCCAACCCCAGAGCCATTAAAGGGGTAGACCCTGGCCACAGTGCCTGTGCCAGCTCCAAGACTGCCAGCCCAGAGCCAGCAGTGGCCACCAGGGCCCTTGACCCAGTGGCCCCAAAACATGAGCCAGCAAGCCACTGGCAGCTCCACTGCTCCCCCGGATCAGGCTGTAAACTCCCCGGAGCCTGACA